ATACTTAAAACGTTTTAAAAAGCTAATCTTTTCCCAAGTGAACAATTTGTTTTCAGTCTGTTTAAAAGCAGCTCTCTCCAAATTACCTCTTAAATATTTCACTTTCTGAACATATTGTTCTTTCTTACAGGCAATTTGTACAGAAGCTGGCTTGATGGCCTTGAGAGAACGGAGAATGAAAGTAACAAATGAAGACTTCAAAAAATCTAAAGAAAATGTTCTTTATAAAAAACAAGAAGGCACCCCTGAGGGGCTCTATCTCTAGTGAACCACCATCACTTCAGGAAAGTGGTTGGCAGTGTCCTGAGGTGGGGAACACGGTTGGGAACGTGCCCAGAATCCATGTTCCGACTGATTTTTACTACAAACCTCCTGTGTGTCTGCTGGAGTGTGACGTGGAGGGCGCCCACTGGGCAGCCTGCGTCTGCTGGTCAGTGTGCGGCACTCTGCTTCCCAATAAAGTGCGCTCTTTCACAGCAGCTCCTGTAATGTGGAGGGTGCCCACTGGGCAGCCTGCGTCTGCTGGTCAGTGTGCGGCACTCTGCTTCCCAATAAAGTGCGCTCTTTCACAGCAGCTCCATCCTGTGTTAGAGGTCTCCATGCCCACCACCCAGCAGCAGCAGCAGCAGCAGCAGATGGGTAGACCCCCCTTTACGAGAGTGAGGATAGAAACCTCAGGCTGGCAGTTGGGAGGAGGACAGACTTTAGTAACTGAGTTGACCATTCCCCCTGTGGTAAAACAGTAATGGTGATCATAACCACGCAGCCTTCTGCCTACCTTTGTTTAAATAGTAAAGGCCGAACTGATGTGGCCATTGCTTACAAAGACAAGGAAAAACAACTCTTCCTTAGATGTGGACCATGCAGGTTCTCTGCCCTTGGGATAGGAAAAAAAGTACCGGTGTTCTGGAGACAGCATTTCTGAAAAACCTCAAAGAATTGCATGTCAGTCCCTTTGTTCTTGGGTTCAGAAACATCCCTTCCCAGAGGTTCAAGAATATACCAGAGCTTCCCCTTCCTTCCCTTTCCCATCTACTGCTTTCACTTCTCTCCTTTCTGAGCAGGGTGGCCTGCATGGGTGGTTGGAACCCACACTGGATGAGCAGGGTGTTCCTGTTACAACTCTTTTAACAAGTGGCCAGAGACTTAGCTTGAAACTACTCAAGTTTGCCTCACAGTTCTGCAGGCAGATGTGCAGCTGGTCTCCACCGGCTAAAATGCAAGACTGCCTGCTTTTATGGAGGCCCCTGGGAGAATCCACTTCCTTGCTCATGAGGGTTGGCAGGATTCAGTTCCCTGCATGTGTCCGCTGAGGGCCTTTTCCTTTTATTCCTTGGATCACAGCCCCTCTACCCTCAAAGCCAGCAACAGCCAGTTGAGTGTTTTCAAGTTCTGAATCTCCTGCCTTTTCTTCCATCCCCACGTCTGACTCGTCTGCTTTCTTTTACCACTTTTTAAAGACCCTTGTAATTACATTGGGCCCACCCGGATAATCCCAGATAATCTCCCTATTTTGAGGTCTGCCATTGTAATTCCCCTCTGGAAAGTTTGTTTTGCCATGTAACATATTCACAGGGCTTAGAGGGTGAATAACTTTGGGGGGGGCATTCTACCTACCACACAGGACATCCACACAGGTGACCTAGTGCAGGATGACGAGTGTACTTGAGAATTGGGGGTGTCAGCCCAAGTAGACAGAAAAGGGTGTCCACGTGGAGAGGTGGTACGGCAGGGGAGCTCTGAGCATGGCTTTTGTGTGGGTGCTGGTGCCCAAGTAGTGAGGGGTGTACTGCGCCAGTGGAGTGGCCCTTGGGGGGAGCAGCATGAACAAGGTGAGCACCATGCAAGGGGAGGCTGATGAGGCTGGAGCCCTAGCAGGTGGAGAAGGTATGGTGTGGGGATGGACAGTGGCAGGGAGGTGGGTTAATGTCCAGTCACACAGTAGGAATGGCAGAAGCCAAGTTCCTTACTGGGAAGAGAATGATAAACTGTCCACTGAAAACCAGGGATGGTGACACCCATTGCAGTGAGCATACCTGAGAGCCAGATCTTTGCAACTGTTCTCTATAAAAGGAATCAGGGCCAGGCCAGTCTGTGGCCTCATGGTGAAGGCAGCTGGATTTCACGTGGCTGGCTGGCTGTGCCATGTTTCAAGTCCCTGGCCTGACAGCTTGAAAAACATGCTAGGTGAGTACGTGCATACCTGGAAGGATGGAAAAACGGGAGAGATTGTGAGGTGATCATCCTCACAGGGGGGCTGGGGGTTCATCTCACTTTCCCCTCTGGCAAGCATGCACAACACCCTCCAGTAAATTTAAAAGGAGCCAGGGCCAATTCTCGAGCTAGGCAAGAAAAGTACAAGTTGAACCCAAGGTACATTTTGCTAGAAAATGAATGTGCAAAGGATGATGGGAACCTGTCAGAAGAGCACGGAGCCTGCATGAAGGGGATTTCACTGGCCAAATCTGGGCAATTTGAGCATCAAAATAATTAATATTTTACATAAAATATGAAACTATGAGCTCATATATGAATTGATTGGAAGTTTGATGAGGAATGTGATATTTAGCTTCAAAGGACCTCCCTGCAAAGTATTTTCAACCTGAAAGGGAAGGAAAGCTTTACACTGAAGAAGCCCAGCAGACGCCATCTTAACTGGTCAAAATAAACTTCAGCAGGGAACCAGCAGTTAGCGTAATGGCTATGTCGCTGGACTCCCATGTAGTCGACCGCGGTTCGCATCCCAGACCTGGTGGCTTAAAACTAACACTGGGTGCGTGTGCGTGCATGCCCAAGATCCTGAGAGGAGAATGGAGGAGAAGGGATTGCGGTGTGGCCATCCCCCCAGGTTGTGATTTCTCGCTTTCTGTCTCTCTGTCTCTATGGTGAGCGCACACGCCCTATAGCGAAAATCTCTCCAAAAAAAAAAAACTTCAGCAGTGAGCACCCTCCAAGTGTATACCACCCAGGAGTCAGGGCTGAGATACTCCTGCCAGATACATGGCCTGAATCCACTCGTGAGGAAATGCCAGGCACACACAAACTGACAAACATTCTGAAAAGTCAGGGCACTTCAAAAGTGAGCCCTGAGAGTCATGGTAAGTCTTCTAGCCGAAGGAGACCAGAAAGATGTGACCAAATGCGGCTCTAGATCGGAACCTGGTTCCTCTTCCCACAGTAGACAATATCAGAACTGGTAGGTCTTGATTGGGGCCTGAAGGTCAGATGGGAGGATGGTGTCCATGCTACATTCCAAGGGGTTTCTGTTTTCGTTTAAAGTACTGATTTGTGTGTTTTATGTTTTGTTTTTTTTCTTTATGAAAAAGCATACAGGGACCAGCAGATGGCGTAATGGTTATGTTGTTGGACTCCAATATAGTCAACTAGGGTTTGAGTCTTGGACCTAGTGGCTTAAAACATACCGGGCATGTATTCGAGCGTACCCAAATTTCAAGAAGAGAACAGAGGAGAAGGGGTTGCAGCGTGGCCATCCCCCTTGGGGTTGATTTCTTGCTTTCTGTCTGTTGTGCGCACATGCCCTATTATCAAAAATTTCTCAAAAAAATTAAAAAGAATACAGGACCAGTGGGTGGTGGGATGCTTAAGATGTTGGATTCCCACGCGGTCAACTGTGGTTTGAGTCCTGGACCTGGCGGCTCATATGTTCTCTGTGTGTCTCCTCAGTGAGCACATGTGTCCTACAACAGATTAATAATTTAAAAATCTTAAAAAGTATTTTATTTTTCAAGTGAGAAACAGCACCCCCAACAAAGTCTTGATGCCACAATTTACCCCCAGGCTCAGCTAGCCCCAAATCACGGGTGTATGTGTGCCCAGCATATCAGGGAGGTCCTTAGACACAAACCTGGAACCTCCCATGTGCACTGTGATTCAGCACGGTGCCACCATCCATCCCCTCACTTCCTATTTAATGCCTGTATTATGGTTATTTAGGAGACAAATAGTAACTTACCCTCAAAGGCTCAGGAAAAAAAGTCCTTTGTAATATACTAGCAACTTTAAAGTTTAAGATTAAAAACAACACAAAGCCTGGGACCAGCAGATGGCATAATGGTTATGTTGGTGGACTCACCTACATGACCGTGATTCGAGGCCCAGAGTTGGTGGCTTTAAACTCACACTGGGCGTGTGTATGCCCCAAATCCCTAGAGGAGTGTGGAGAGGGGATTGTGGCAATGGCCATATCATCCCCTCCTCCGGGGTGGGGATTTCTCGCTTTTGGTCTTTTTCCAGTGAGTACACACATCCTATAGTAAAAATCTCATTTTAAAAAAAGGAAACAAAGCCTTATATGGCACATTGGAATTTCCCTTTCCTCCTTGGCAACATCCAAGCTCCTTCCTCTCTCCATAGGATAGTCTCCCTTGCATCAATTCGTTCTCGTTATTTTTTAAGAGTTTTTTTTTTTTTGGAGAGGTTTTCGCTATAGGGCGCGTGCGCTCGCCAGACAGACAGAGAGAGACATAGAGACAGAAAGCGAGAAATCACCCCCCAGGGGGGATGGTCATGCCGCAATCCCTTCTCCTCCATTCTCCTCTTGGGATCCTGGGCACGCACGCACACGCGCCCGGCGTGAGATTTAAGCCACCGGGTCCGAGACGTGAACCGCGGTCGACTACGTGGGAGTCCAGCGACATAGCCATTACGCTAACTGCTGGTTCCCAAGAGAGTTTTTTGCTATAAGGCACATTGCCTACCAGAGAGACAGTGAGGTAACAGCCCCCAGAGGGGATGGTCACGCCACAATCCCTTCTCTTCCATTCTCAGGATTTGGGGCACGGATGCACATGCACCTGGCATGAGTTTTAAGCTGCTGGGTCTGAGACTTGAACTGCGGTCAACTATGGGAGTCCAGCAATATAATTATTACACCATCGGCTGGTCCTTCCCTTGCACCAATTCTACAAAAGAAGCCGAAGCCAATGCCAGTGCCTAAGCATATGGGTAGGGAAGTGGGATGCAGTGGTGACATCCTGCTGCCTCTGGACAGACCTGAGCAATGCTGAAACTGCTGGGGTGCAGGGATGGAGGGCTCGGGAAACAGCGCTCTGGGAGGGCAGTTTCTTCCCTGGCTCCATGCACTGGTGAGCAGGGCAGAGACAGCTCTGTCTGCCTAGAAACACCCTTGCTCAGCAGGACCACCTTAGGGTGAGCCGCATCCCTCCCTCTGCAACAAGCATTGGTCTCCCAGCGATCATCATGTCTCTCTTTAAAATGGAAAATAATGAATGTGTGTATTCTAAGTGGCAGCTACCACAGCTGCCTCTTCTCACCAGGGACACAGCACAGAAGGTGCCTCACAACTCCTGCACCCACCACAGACCCAGCCAGCCGCACATGGTTGTCGCCCCTCCTTCGTTCTGGAGACTACTGTCCAAACCTCACTGGGGCTGCCTGAAGCCTGATGCTTTCCTGATGAAACACACAGTCACTGAGTGACCCAAATAAGCTCAGAAACTTTGCCAGGGTGACTATAGTCTTGGGAGGAGCCTCATCATCTTTCAGACTTTAACAATCTCAAATGGCTTTAAAAAAAAGAAAAAAAGGAAGTACCTCATCATCCTTTTCTATAAAAATATCCCCCACAGAGAACCTTTGATTTTCTTTAAATCTCTTCCCACGCAGCAAGTAACGCACCAGGAAGCAACGGAGAAGCTGCTTTGCCACCACAGGGGGTCACTTCCCATCTGTACAGTCTCCAAGTTCCCAAGCTACAGGCTGCCACTGCCATTGGGTCTGGAAGTTACTTACAGGCCAGTCCCTGCCAAGTTCTGAGCCAAACGGGAACAGAAACGAGTAAGATGGTGATGGAGGCCCTGCCGCCATCAGCAATGCAGCTCGTCCTGGGTTTCCTAGTCATGCCCATGCATAGGCTGCAGTGTCTGGCCAGAAGCCCCCTACGGAGGGTGAGGGCAGCAAAGGACCTCCCATGGGCAGCCAGGAACTGGGCCCCTTACAGCCTCAACTGCCAGGGCGCGCTGAGAGTTGTCCACCTTGGCTGAGCTTGGAGCTTCCTGAATTCTGCGTTTCTGTGAAGAGGCATCGAAGGAAGCAGCCATCCGGGCCTCTGCTCATGGCACCTGCAGCTCGGGTCTTAGGGAGGCAGGAGAGGGTGGTTAGCGGGCTAGGCTGGCCACCTCCTTGTGGTGCCCTAGAAAATGCCCTTACTACACCGCCCTCCCTCATTTGTCTTGCTCAGTTTCTAACCAGAATTATTTCCCACAACTTTGGGTTTTCTAGATGAGGAGCCAAAGAAATACAAGGCTTCAACAAGTCTGAAGATGATAATTTAACAAGAAAAGCCCTGGGAGCAGCTATCTACAGGCACCCTGGAAAGACAAGAAGGCAATTCCTCCCTCGCGAACATTCTGAAGGATCCACCTTCAGCCCTCGGAAGTCACAACCAGAAGGCCTTCTGTCCTAGGCGACTGGCGCCAGCACCTCCAGTACCTCCAGTACCTCCAGTACCTCCAGCACCTCCAGCACCTCCAGCACCTCCAGCAAGTCTGTAGGCAGCCTGAGTTTGGTGGGAAAGGCCCCACCCCATCCAGCACTCTTCTGAGATCCTGGTCTCCAGCAAGTGTCCTAGCAGAGGGAGCCTCAGTGCCCCGGGCAGCACCCACAGCTCGGCAGGGTTGGGCGGGCCTGAGAGTCTGCAGCTCTCACAAGCTCCGAGGGCATGCTGCCAGTCCACGGATGAAGGTGTCTCCAAGCAGGACCCGGAATGAGGGACACTCCCTGCACCCTCGATACCACCAGAACACCAGGTGCTGATCCTCTCCACCGGCATGGTCTGAAGATGAGAGCGAGCTCCGCCGCCCACTAGGCAGCCTGTAGGAGGTGACCTAATGCTGAGCAGCCAGACCTCTAAGACCGAACCAGGTGTGGCAGGACAGCAGGGGTGCCCACAAGGGAGAAGGGGTATATCCACTGTGGTGGGGCCAGAGCCAGGACAACTCGCACAAGCCTCACCCTCACAGGTTTATTACCACTTGGCAGGATTCATTTATGTACATATATACACATATGCACATATATAATATGTAAAATGATAGCTTTTGTGTCATTTACACACCCCAAAATGTGCAAGATGTGAGAGGCTGAGAACCCAGACACAGGTTACCAAGGAAGGATATTTCACAAGCAGGTCTGCTGACGCTTGTGCATTCTCTTCCTGCCCCCAGCTCTCCCAGGGCAGGCGGCTCCTCGGAGGCCCCCTTCCTCCTGGGCCTAGTCCTCGAGCAGGAGGTCCAGCTCCTCCAGGGGCAGGCGCACCCGCAGCTCCTTCTCAGTCATCAGGTCCAGAATCTCCTGCATCGCATCGGGGAAGTACTGCACAGCGTCCAGGTACAACACCTGGGGGCAAGGAGAGGCCACCATGGTCAGCCCACTGCCTCCTGATGACAGCAAGTCTCTTCCTGCCACCGTGCACAGCTCGCACTCCCTTCACTCGGACTTTCCTAACTCAGGTAGCACCTATCTCTTCAAGAAGGACCCCGAACTGAGGGAAGTACACTGGCAAGGAGCAGCTCCCAGTGAGGCCTTCTCCTTGACAGGCAGGGCCAGAGCTGTTGGTGGGCATCGTAGTCACCAGCAGCCTGGATCTTTGACACTCATGTAGACACGCCTAGTCTGTCTCAAGTCACTGGGCCTGGGACTCAAACAACACAGTCATGTGGGACCCAGCTGCCTTCACCACGAGGCCATGGGCTGGCCCGCCATGATCTTCAAAACTTACCTTTGCCCAGGGACAATTCTGAAGTGCCTTGTAGAACACACCTTTGCTTCTTTCTTTATTGCCCAACGAAACCTGAGATGAGGGGAGAAAATACGAAAATGGTCACTGAAACAGAGGAGTTAATTCTATAAAACACCGACTGATCTGCACACAGCCGCCCGGCTGCAGTAAGCTTGGCACCATCTCTGTTGCGGTTGGGTATGGTGTCCAGGTACCAAGAATGTTCTTGGGGCTTGCTTATGTCAGGGTTGTTTCCCACCACGAGGTGCCCCCGGAGTGTGGATCCTTAATGCTCCTGACTTCGTAAAGCCTTGTTACTGCTTCACTGAAAGCTCTCAATGTCCTGGCATTAGTAACAGGAGTGAAATATGACTGGGTGTCGACGAGACAAGGCTGAGGGACTTGCACCAATAGAGTATCTACTCTCATATTTGCCATTTTCTGAAAAATCATCATTTAGAAGAATGAGATAACCAGGACTGAGGTCAGTAGATCAGTAACCTTATTAAAAGTTAAACTTTCCATTAGAAACTTCAGACTTAAGAGGGAGCAGAGGCCAGCAGGTACATGGAGGTTAAGGCAGTTGGATCCCACACAGCCAACTACAAGGTTTAAGTCCTGGTGTGAAAATCATCCCAGGCACATATGCATGTGGTCCAAAATCCCAAGAGGAGAAGGGATTGCGGCGTGGCCATCCTCCCTGGGGGGTGATTTCTCGCTTTCTGTCTCTCTCCATCTGTCTGGTGAGCGCACGCGCCCTATCGCAAAAACTTCTCCAAAAAAAAAACCCCAAAAATATTTTTTTATTTGCTAAGAAAGACTGGCAGAGTATCTGCTGGAAATAGGGAGGCCTAATCTGCACCTTCACGCAGCTGAGTCGCATCATCTAATGACAGGAGCGGAGTTTTAATAAACCCAGTTCTGACTCGGCTGCCCACGGCAGTGATCTCTGATTAGAAGGCGGGATCTTGCTTCCTGGCCAGGAAGACACCATGGACATGATATCCACATGTGGCTTTCTTACGGTTTCCATTTCACACCAGGGAGCTACCAGGTCTAAAGAACAACTGTTAAGGAAATGCACGAACTTTGGTGGGAACACTTAAGAGATTTTTGCTACAGGGTGCACGTGCTGGCTAGAGAGACAGAAAGACAAAAAGCAAGAAATCACCCCCCCAGGGGGATGGCCACACTGCAATCCCTTCTCCATTCTCCTTTTGGGATTATGGGCACACATGCACACACATCCAGCATGAGTTTCAAGCCTCCGGGTCTGAGACTCAAACTGCAGTCAACCACATGGGAGCCCAGCACTTTAACCATTATGCCACCTGCTGGTCCTGGGAATAAACTTTTGATGCTGCCTTCTGCCCCCAGGAACATGCTCTTCCTGGACATGCTAATGAGCCCCTCCAGGCTTCAGTGCACAGCCTCTTTCAGAGGTCAAGAGGGCACACCAGATGACGCTGTAAAAGGCAGGAGTTGGGGAGGCCCAAACCTCTCCTAGCCCCTAAACTTACTGCCTCTCATTACCCCCAGCTTTGTCATACATCAAATGAAAATGTTCAAATACCTGGACAGAGTTTTGAAAACCTGACCAATGGAATAATCAGAGATACACTTAAAATTTATGAAGGTCACCAGAAGGTCACTCCTGGCTCCTGGAAGGTGCAGTCGTCCCTGGAGGTCACCTGATGTGAACAAGTCTAGCCTTGAACTAAAACAACAGGCAAGAAGCCTAGGAGACTGTTTCTACAAAGTGCGTGATTGGCAGCGGTGTTTCCCAGTCAGTGGCCCAGCGCCAGGCCTTCACCCACGACAGAGCCACCTCCCAGACTCTATGAAGCCGCATCTTTCAGTCTACACTGCGTTCACAGTGACAAAATTACAAGGGGTCTCGCCATATTCAATTCACTATGGTACTTTCAAATGAACTCAAAGCTGCTCTGGGAATGTCTACCTTAAAAATCATATTCCAGATTGAATCTTACCTTTTAAAAATAAACAGAATCAGTGTGGGAATTCTGATAAGAGCAGCAAAGAACTTGGGTCTCTTTCAGATGAAAGCTAAGACCATTTTCCAAGTTGCTGACATTAAATCAGAGAAACCCATGTTAAGTTCTACTGCTCCAAACAGCCCAGGAATTACTTTTCAATGTCACGCTACAAATATGCACTTGACGAAATACGCACTTACAATCCCTTGCCAAGTCCTGACAGCACATCAGCAGGGCTCCTTGTCGGTGTTAACCCAAAGTGTGAGGTGAAAATAAGGCCCTCGCCGCTTTCCTGCTCTGTGGCCCCCAGATACCTGCACTTGCTCGCTTATGAAAGTAACACAACTCTGTAGGAAACAGCAAGTCTGATATTTTCTTACCAAAAAATTCAAATACATCCTCCACAGTAAGGGGCACTGGCTGCCACAGTCGCTCCGCAGGGCATTTTCAAACAGGGCCTTGATCCGATGTGTCAAGCCGGTCTCAGGAATTGTGGCATGGATCTCTCTTCCGTCTACCCTGCAAGGCAAAGGCTCATGAAACTCTGAGACCAGTTCTCTCTCCCTGCATCACAGGAGGAAGATGCTTTAGTGATGGCAAATATCAGCAACAAGTGGGTAGGAGAGCAGCAGGGCACGAGGTCTCTCGGGTGTGTGAGTGTGGTAGTGCAGGGTGCACACGGGTGTGGCTTCTCCCAGGTCAGAGGAAGGCAGAGTCCAGGGTTCTGTGGTTTCTACACCATGTGGAGTCTGGCTCCTTGCTTCTCTGTTTTCTAAAGAAATATACCCTTTAATTAGCAGAATGCAAAGTCTGCTTTATGGGAAAGGAAGAATTATTTAAAGTAGAGAAAATGGGCCAGACTGAAGCATGGTGGTTAAGGTGGCGGAATTCCACATGGTGCAGTTCAAATCTAGTACCTGGTGATTTGAAAAACACGTGTGTGTGTGTGTGTGTGTGTGTGCCCAGAAACTCTAAAGGAGGAAAAAATGAAGGAGGAGGGTTTACAGCATGACCATGCCCCATAGGGAGGTACTTTATCACTTTCCTGTTCTGGAGCAAGCACATGTTCCCTCTGGCATAGCTTTAAAAAAAGGAAGGAGAGAAGAAAGGAGGGAAGGGAGACAGGAAGGAAGAGGGGCCAGCCAGTGGCGTGGTGTTTAGGGTGCTGGCCTCCCACAGAGCTGACCGTGGTTCAAGTGTCAGACCTGGTGGCTTGAACATCACACCAGGCTTTTGTGAGTACACAAAATCCTGAGAGAAGAATGGAGAAGGGATTGTGGTGGGGCCATTGCCCTGGGGGATGAGTCTCATTTTCCTTCTGTCTCTTGCTGGCAAGTGGATGTGCCCTATGGCAAAAACCTAAACCAAAGGGGAAAAAAAGACAGACAGACTCATTCATGGGGCACCATGCTTTAGTGGATGAGGTAGCTGGATCCCTAATGGCTGACCTAGGTTTGAATCCTGGCCCTGGCAACTGGAAAAACACACCAAAGCATGCGTGTATGCATGCCCCAAACCCAACAGGATGGAGAAATGGAGAGAGGATTGTGTATGGAGAGAGGATTGTGGTGTGACCATGTCCCAGTGGCTCTCTCCCTCTCTCTCTGGCAAGCTTACAATGCCCTTTGGCAACAACAACAACAAAAGAAAGTAAAGCTTACATAAAGTGAAGAAAATCTCAATGGAAGAAATAAAAAATAAATAGTAAAGTGAATACTATTCGAAAGCAATTTTACCTAACTTATAAGATCAGGGTAAAGTGGGGGCCGGCAGGTGGCATGGTGGTTAAGGGCACTAGACTCCCAAATGGCCGACTGTGGTTCAAGTCCCAGACCTGGCCGCTTGCTTTCTCACTTTCCCTCTCTCTCTCTCACTCTGTTCCTTTTTGGTCAAATTAAAATAAATAAAGTTAAATAAAATAATTCTTTTTAAAAAATCAGAGCAAAGCAACAGTAAAGATTCTAGAAGGAAAAATGATGCCCAGGCTATTGTTTAAATTTCAGGTATAAGATACTGCAGCATAAAACGTGACCGTGCTAGCTGTCACTAGCGATGCAGACAGGAGCTACCAGCTACTGTACAGTCTGTGTGCCAAGCACTTACCTCACTGACCCCTCAGAGCAACTCTAGGAGGTAGGTTCTTAATTCCTAGTTGACAGTAAAAGAGCCTTTGGGGGAGGTGAAGTGGCTTGAGGTCACTGAGCTGATAATTGGCACAGTCGGCACTGGGACCAGAGAGCTAGCCTCCTGAGCCTGTGCCCGTAACTGTTACACATCCATTATAGCTTCCTGGATGCTCTGCACCTGACAGTCTCCTTGCAAGCACATCAGAAGCAACATTCAGACGCCCCAAAAACAAGGCCAAGAAGATGAGCCCCAACGCCGCCAATGAAAGATGCTGCCCCTCTGCGGCATCTCATTCATCTTTCAGTATGTTACCCCACAACACTTACAGCGCCCGCAGAGGGTTCCGGGCCCTGTGACGGGCCCATTTTGTACTGCCAGGACCCGGCAAGGAGGAGAGAACATGGTAAGCATCCCATCAAGGTCTGAGGAGCATCTGAACGTGACGGTCTATGATTACCTCTGAACGGTTTCCACCAGCCTCTTCCTCATTTTCTCAGCTTCAATGGCAAACAACCATGGCTCCAAGGGTTTGGCAGACCTGGTGACTGTATTGAAGAACCTTCTGGTCTTGCTGGCACTGTGGGACTTATTTTGAATCTGTACATACGACCTCCAGAGCACCTGGTTGCCTGGAAACAACTTTAAAGCCTGTGTGAGTGCCTCTCGCAGCGGAGTCAGGGGGTAAACGCTAACGTTCATGTGGAATCTGAGCAGACCTGTGTGAGTCAGGGTGATGGCTTCGAGAACACTGGTCAAACTCTGGGAGCTGGCACTGTCCTCCAGGCTGGAGTTTTCTGTTAAAACAGAGCCTTTCAGTTTTGCAAATACCTGTTGATATATCTGCACAGCTGCATCGATCCCTACAGTTAAATACTGGAAAAACATGAAGCATTTCACCAAGCTAACCAGGGGAGCTGGCTCAGAGACACAGCTCTCACCCAAACAGTCCTGCAGTGCGTGCTCATAAGCTTTCCGAGCCTTCAAGATGTGAACAGCCGAGACCTGCCCAGCGTAGGGCCCGTAGGGACCGCTCTCTGTCAGCCTGGTCAGTATGTGCACAGCTCGGGATGTGGCAGCCCCTCTCAAGTCCGCAGACAGCGCACCCTCTACCTCCAGCTCGGCATAGAGCAGACTGAGCTCACAGAGCTCGCAGTCCTTCAGCTCTCTGCTTCCGGCCATGCCGAGCGCTGTATCGAAAACCTTCCTGGCATCCTCTGTGTTGCCAAGTAACCACTCCAGATGTGCGTATTGCTTCCAGAGGCAAAAGTTGTTGCGGTTTTCTGGCTCCTTAAGGAGATTCTTGGCTAGTTTTTTGCAGTTCTTCCCCTGTGACTTTAATCTCTTCTTGTTTTTAGTGTGCAGACACCAAATTACCTGTAGGCAAGAAGGGAAGAATGACTCCAAGCGCTCTGTCATTTTAAAGTAGCCCCTCAGTACTGCCAACTTTAGAAAGGGTTGATAGTACAAAGGCATCTTCACTTCCTCTACCATGTGCTTGGTAAACACTGAGGCTCTCTGAGCTGGGCAAGAAATTAGCATTTTACCAAGGCCACAAGTGTCCTCAAGTTAACACTTATAAGTTTCCATCTGAAACCTAAATAGAAGGGCCAAATCTCCGAGAGGAATGGTTGCAGATTTTGCCAAAGATACTGTTTTAATAGTACAGCCTGCTACTTACGAGCTGAAATGAAAGCTCCAGAGCTCAGAGTGAGAAGAGTCAACAGTGGGAGCCAGACAGAGGCCCAGCAATAATGCCACACTCTGCACAGCTGACCTCCGTGGGAAGCAGGGAGGGTGTGTGTTCTCCATGACCTGGGACTGGCTGAGACGGGGTAGACTGAGGTGTCAGGATCCTGGTGGAGGGCCAGACAGTGAGAGGCAAAACACAATGCCCTGCAAGGCTGATCCATATGGGTAGGTTCCTGGTTCAAGTCTAGACCCTGAGTACTCTGGGCATATGCTTGCCATGATCTGGGGCTGACTGAAGTCTAGGCATGGATCAGGGCATCAAGCCCTTATTAGGTCTGCTGTCTCTTTTTTTCACTCTCTTTCTCATGGAAAGGAAAAAAAAAAAAACATTTTTTTTGGAGAGGTTTTTGCTATAAGGCACATGTGCTCACCAGAAAGACAGAGAGAGACAGACAGAAAGCGAGAAATCACCCCCCGGGGGGATGGTCATGCCACAATCCCGTCTCCTCCATTCTCCTCTTGGGATCTTGGGCACACACGTACACGCGCCCGGCAGGAGGTTTAAGCCACCGGGTCCGGGACTCGAACTGCAGTCAACTATGTGGGAATCCAGCAACATAGCCATTACACTAACTGCTGGTCCCAAGAAAACATTTTTTTAAAAAAATCAATACTAGGACCAGCTGGGAGTACAGTGGTGATGCAATGCTCTGTGATGCTGGACCACAAAGGAAGGTGCAAGGTTCAAGTCCCAAGGCCTCCCACACACCCTGGGAGCACACAGGCATGCCCATAATCTGGACCAGCTGATGTTGGAGATAAAGAACAACTGGAGCTACTTATCTCTCTCCTTCATTAAAAAAAAAAAAAAATTAAAAAACACATCAAATGGGCTCAGCCCTAGTTGCACACACTGAATGAGCTACTTGATATGCTGAGGCCACATGGGAGGCCTGGGTTCAATTTGTGACCATCCCTGAGGGGCTAGGCACAGTGGCGTGTGCCAGCTGCTTGGGAGACTGAGGCAGGAGGATCGTGACACAGCAAGACCCTGTCTAAAATACCATATACACACTCACCAAAAAAAGAAAAAAAGGTCAATATTAACTGGTGGCCAGAATGGAGGTCAGAACAGTGGGTCCAGACTAAGTTAGGAAACATAAACAGATATAAAGAATAGGGTAAGTAAGTAGTTTCTTCTATCTGGTTTAATAAACCCCTAAGCCCTCAGATCCTATTAAGCTGTTCTTAACATTCCCTGTTCACAGACCTCCAGGTGTTCTGCAAAACAACACAACAAACAGCTCAGAGACACTGAGAGCCACGTAGCTGGGCTTGCTCCACCATCCCCTCTGCCCTGCAGCCTGTCGAGGACGGTGCCACACACTCCTTCAGGAGTCACCAAGGAAGGAGGTGCCGAGGCACAGTTCCCCAAGAGTATGAAGAGGTTCGCAATCCCACATCAACACAAGAGCCCCCAAACACGGGGAGGAGGGGGCTGGCGTTACCTTTGCAATCTCGTACCGTAGCCAGGAGAAGCAGAGCTGAGACTTTTCCTTGGTTGAAAACAAAGGCATAACGAGGTGGAAGATGTTGCGGATGAACTCCTCACCCTCTCGACTGTGACCCCTGGTCCAGCGAGGGCAGCCTATCTGGTCCATGCAGCCAACACAGCTGACACCGGAAAACGAAGGGTTGAGACAAGTCAAGGGTTTTTCATCAAAAAGTCCATTATCGAAGATGCTGTTCTCATCCATGGCCAGATAAAGGCAGGAGGCTGGAGGGATGAAACCCGAAGGCACACCCAAGAACTGCAGGAAGGCCTCGATCAGCTGGAACTGCAGACCTGGACTAGAGAGTCTAATCAGAGACTGTCCAATATCGTCAAACAACACCTGCAGCAAAGCACAATCGAGTGACCCATTCAATGAAACAAACAAAAGCATTCACAATTTTTCATACTTTTCATATGGGTATTTTAATGATTGAACGTTATGCAAATTGAAGTGAGCTTTAAACAGATAGGGGCTAAGTTTTCTGCAAAATGCAAAAAAATGAGAAGCCTCCCAAGGCAATTTGGACAGCCGGAGAGTAACAGCCAACAGCCCTGTGTGCCATGAACGTTTCCGTACATCCGGGAAAAAAACACTTCAGCCAGGGCTTTCAAGGTGCCCTGGTGGATTGTGGGAAGTCTAGGAGCATGTTCACTTCTGAAAGCACCCATAAATGCTTCTGTGGTTACTTTGATAAAATACAATTGTGAAGATCTTTAATTTTAGGACAGAAGATAAGAACTCAACTATTTGTGGTTTCTTTGTACAAAAAAGCTTCAGGAAATGAAAATATGCTCAAAAATAGATAAACACGAGCAAGGTAAAAAGGAAGCTACAGGAGCAATGGACCATGTTAAGAGCAATTATAAGCAAGCCATGCTAACTGTAAATGTTTATAGATGATTTCACATAATAATTAAAAAATTTAAGGCCCAGGAGACCATCCTTTGTCTCTAGGTGCTACTTATCTGACTGGTCTTTGTGACTCTCAGCAAAGAAGAAATAAACACATAAGCACAATAAAACTGGACTACCTGGGACTCAACTAATCAAACCATCACTTACTCAGAAAGCTTTTCTCCTCCTGATTAGAGAAAAGCTGAATAATGAGAAGTGGCTCACAGCAGTAGTCTGCTGCAGAAATCCATTTCTAGGAAGCTGCCAGAATTCTGGGCCTCGAGAACCACCTTCCAGCAGGATGACTATAAACTGTGTAAAATACTGGAACCCTAAAAAAGCACCTGCTCTTCTCTGAACACGGAGCCTCAGCCAGGAGGGGGAACCTCACGTGTAGTGCAGCGGCACCTCCCCAAGCATTCCAATGAGCTGAGCTTTTTCTCCTTCCTGCCCAGAGACCACCCCTGTCTTTTGCTATTCCCACGTCTCTCTGTCCTAATTCCAGTCTGGTCAGCCCATTTGTGACTGCTCAAACATCCCTGGCAGATACTTTGGCACCAAACGAATATCCATCCCATCAACACCCAAGGGTGTTACTGAGAACTGCAGAGCGCTCCCCACAGGACAGTGCTGCTCAAGGCACTGGGGATACAGCGGTGAACAGAAGAGGTGAAACTCCCTGCCCTGAAAGGGACCTGCTTGCATGGAGGTTTACAGAGCCTCCTCACCCTGAAAACCTCCCAATCTCCACGTGACATGTCACACGTCAAATGACAGAAGTGGTATCTTGTGAAACTGGCTCAATTCCAGGTATCAAAAATAGAATTTTTTCCCCTTCATTTTAATTTTTTAAATTACTTTATTTTAATTTTATTTATTCATTCATTTATTTTCATTTGACCAGAGAGAGACACAGAGAGAGAGAGTGAGTTAGTAAGCCACCAGGTCCAGGACTTGAACCATGGTCGGCCATGTGAGAGTGTCCAGTGCTTTAACCACCCCGCCACCTGCTGGTCCTCTCCTTCATTTTAATTTAAAACCTCTAGAGCTGTTGGCCACTAACCACAGTGCAGCACGTACCTAACCACGTAATGACAGTGAGTGAGATAGTACCAGTGCCTGGCTCACAACAGGTGCTCAATAAAAGCTCGTTCCAGGCTAGCCGGTGGCATGGTGGTTAAGGCAGGTGGATCCCACATGGCTTGAAAAACACACAGTGTGCGTGTGCGTATGTGCTCAAATCCTGAAAGGGAGAAAGAAATGGAGAAGGGATTGTGCTGTAGCCATGCTCCATGGGGATGCCTTCTCACATAACCCCTGCTCCCCACTTTTTCTCACCAGCCAGCACATTTGCTCTCTGACAAAGTAAAATAAATAAATAAATGCTAATTTCTTCAGCAAGGCCAGCCATATGCTGACCATCCCAATATGGACTCTTATCTTCCAGGTCAAATCTGTCTGCTACATCTTCATGGATCCAAAAGTGGGGTAGGGGACATGGACACACAGAATTCAGAACAGAATCCACATTTTGGAACCTGAGCACACAGGGGTTCACATGAAAATGAACTGAATAACCTAGAGAACAATCCCCAAAGGGATAACCAAGAGCCTACCCACCTCCCAGGGGCCAGGACCCAGACAGTCCTATACGCTCTCCCATCACCAGCGTCCAATGGAGGAAGTTTCCATGATGAACAAGAGCAGGTTAGCCAGCCAACTGCTCAGAAAGCCCGGCATCCTTCTTTCAGATAACCAACACACAACGGGAATGGAAAGAAGGCCACGACCCCTGTGACCGAGCTGCCTCCTGGCGTGGACGATACTTGCCTGCCTCTCTGGGTCCTCACAGTCCTCTTCTGTTTGCTTCTTGGTCTTATCAGGGCGCCAGGGTCGCCAGTGCCTCTGGTCCCGGGAACGCTCAGCAGCAAGCCAGATCTGCCACTTGGGCAGCGTCTTGTCTCTTATTTCCTGGTTGTCCTCTTCTGGTTCATCGTCATCCTCATCTAGACAAGAACAAACCTGTAGTTCAGCTAATCGGCAAATGAAATGAGCACTGTTACCTAGTGAGACTGCAGCCCCAGCACCTAGTGGGTCAGGAGGTGAGAGCCACTCCAGCCTCCCAGGGTGCTCAGCACATTTGGAGACTCTCTTGTAATCAGGAAAATTCCCAGGAAAGACAGGCAGAGAAGTTGATAAAACCAGAGGATTTGTAATGCTGGCATAGCAATTAACATGAGGATGACATACACTCTAGAATCTAAGCCCTGATGGACAGAACTTGCTGCAATGAAAAGGCTCCAGTACCTGGGCTGACATAGCAGCCGCTAGCTACAAGTGACTTACAGGACACTTAAATGTAGCTGGTATAAATAACCACATGTGATTAGAGGCTACTGTATTGGAAAACAGGGTTTTAAAAAGCTAAACGACATTTAATGACAGAATGGGTTTAGATTTTGTTAGACCATCAGGTTTTTGGTTGTTGTTTCTTTAGTTTTTACTATAGGGCATCAGAAAGAGAGAGAGAAGAGAGCAAGAGAGAGAGAGAAATCATCCCCCAAAGGGATAGTCACACCACAATTCCTTCTCTTCCATTCTTCTCTTGGGATTTTGGGCACACAGGTACACACATGTGCCCAGCATGTTTTTCAAGCCACCAGGTTTGGGACTTGGACTGCTGAGCTGACCATGCAGGATTTGGCCACCCTAACCATCACATCACCGGCTGTTCCGAGCCATTAGAAATTTTATCCTTGCCTTGTAGATAATTATGGCCTATGTTCATAGAGCTTGATAAAAAAAAAAAAGTCAGAATATGCAATAATTTTTTTCACTTTGTTTCCTAACTCTCAACATGTAGCACGGGAGAGGAAAGAAGTCTGAGTTATCTGGAAAGTTCAGTATTGAAAGAGAAACAAACAAATATGATAGGTAAAATGGTACAGCCACATGGAGAAATAGTTTGACAGTTTCTGATAAAACCAGACATGCACTTATATAACTGAACTCTCGGAAACTAATCTGAGAAAAAGGGAAAACCTATGTTCACAAAAAAGTCTATACGCTAATGCTCATAGCAGCTTTCTACTATTGCCAAAAGTTTTACACAAAACAGACAAAAACTGGAAACAACCTAAATATCCTGTAGTAGTGAATATGAAACTGTGGTACATCTACACTACAGACTACTACTCAGCAATAAAAATGAACACACTATTGACACACACAACAATTTACATGTACTCTACGATTATTATGCCATTAAAAAAAAAAGTCTCAAAAAGTTATGTGAAAAACAAGTATTGCCGAGAATGTGGAAAAACTGGACCTTTTGGGAACTGCTGGTGCAGTGGAAAAATGGTATAGATGCTGTGAAAAACAGGATGGCAGTTCCTCAAAAAAACATAGAATTACCATATGACTGGGCAAATCTACTTCTGTATACCCCAAAGAACTGAAAGTGGAGACTGAACAGACATTCTACACCTAAGCTCACAGCAGCATTAGTGAAACCATGGTGCCATGCTTCACAAAGTGAAGCAACCCAAGCGGCCACTGATGAATGAATGGATAAACAAAGGTGGCACATATGTACGTGGGCTACCCATCAGTCTTAAAAAGAAGACAACTCTGACACATGTCACAACACAGATGACCTTAGAGACACTATGGTAAGTGAAATAAGCCAGTCATAAAAACACAAATATTGTATAACTCGACTTCTCTGAGGTTCCTCTAGTAGTCAAATTCAGAGACAGAAAGTAGGATGGTGGTTGCCTAGAGCTGGGGAAGGGGAGAGTGGGGAGTGAGTACTTAGTGAATGGGTACTGAGTTTCCTTCAGAGAAGAGGAACAGTTCTAGAGATGGACAGAGATAACTGCACCACACTGTGGACATACATAAAGTCACTGAAGTGTACAGTTCAACATGATTAAAATGAACTCTGTTACATATATTTTACAACTAGAAAAAAAATTATTTAAAGAGTTATACACCACATGGTTCCGTTACATATTTTATACTTGTAAAATAACATAATAAAGATAGGGAACGGATTAGTGGTTCCTAAGGGTTAAGGGGGAACGGGTGGCTGTGACTGAAAAGGGGTGGCATGAGGGACCCTTGTGATTATGAATTATTTTGTATAGTGATCATGGCAATGACTACACAAAGCTATACATGTGATAAAACTGCCTAATGCTATACAAATCACGCAGGAGCATACATAAACACACGTGCGTGTGTGAGCGTGCACGTACAAACACACACACACGTGCAGGTAAAGGGAATAACCTCTGGAAATCGTACCAATTCCCTCGCTGTAACAGGACTCCAGTACTACCAGCGGAGGAAAATGGGTGAAGGATACACAAAATCTTTCTGTATACTTTTTTCCTACTTCTTCTGAGTCTATAAGCATTTCAAAATGAAAAATCAAATAAACAAACACTACAAATAATTCAAACACATAATACGTATCAGGTCATCAGGAAAGTCCTGACGTATTTTTCTATGCAAAAAAACACTATTTTTCTATTCAAAAATACATCGTGACTTTCCCAATGGCCCAACATATTAGCATTTTATTTGCAATATTCTACCTAACCTTTCTTTCGAGCTTCTCAAAGAAAATGAAAAAGCATCTATTTATCACTGTCTTCTAAAGATCTCCATTTAAAGAAATCCTTAAATCCCTCTGAAAAAATCTTATAAAAGATTACCATAAGAAAGATTACCCCTGTGAGTCATATATCAAATTTGGATACCTAAACTTAATACATTAAGAATTCAAAAGATTACGTGGTTTTGGACAGACATATATAGCAATTTCACACTGACAAAGTAAGGCTAAGCGAGAAGAGCTAAGCTGTGATATCTGAAGAAGAAATACCTCAGAATGCATGATAAAATCCTAATTACACTCCAATGCCAACCTTGCCAAGGAAGACAAGAGGACTTAAAATTTAAAAAACTAAAACAAAACTTATCAGCTAGGTTTTCTGGGTTGACCCTATAGCCCAGTAGTTAATCCAGCTGGTTCAGTCCCAGCCCTGACAGCTAGAAAAGCATGCTGGGCACATGTGCATGCATGCCTCAAATGCCTACAAGATAGAGAAGTGGAGAAGGGATTGCAGCATAACCATGCACCATTGAGGAGTGCTTTCTCCATTTTATCTGTCTCAGCAAGTAAACGTGTCCACTGGTGATTAAAAAAATAAGTAAAGGGAAAATGGCATAATTAAAAAATGGCATAATGGTTATGTCACTGGACTCCCACATAGTTGACTGTGGTTCAAGTCCCAGACCCGGCAACTTAAATTTACAGCAGATGCGTGTGTGTGCATGCCCAAAATCCCAAGAGAAGAATAGAGGAGAAGGGATGGTGGTGTAGCTATTCCCCCTAGCAGTGATTTCTCATTTTCTGTCTCTCTGTCTCTTTTTCTCCCACTGCCGAGCTCATGTTCCCTATTGCAAAAACCTCTCTCAAAAAAAAAAAAAAAAAAAAAAAAGTAATGGGCCAACAGGTGTACCATAGTGGTTAAGGCACTAGACTCCCACATGGTTGATCTCAGTTCAAGTCCTGGATCCGATGACTTGAAAATCAAGCCAGGCACATGTGCATGCATGTCCAAAATGGAGAAGGAGAATGGAGAAGGGATTGCAGCATGGCCAGCCCTCTCCTCACTCCTCACCAGCAAGTGCACACGACCTATGGCAAAAAAAAAAACTTAAAAAAAAAAAAAAGTAAGTAATTGGAAACGAGAAGTTTTATAATCTTTCTTTGACTCTGTTGGGTTTTTCTAGAAGACAATTACTGAATTCATTAGAAAGAAATTAATTAAATTCAGTAGAAAATTCTCTATAATGGAACTGTTTGGAAGCTTGCAGGGAATGTAAATACCAACAACCTCTCTAACTTGATAGTAACAATCAAGGTTTCAATACTTGCATTTCCGGGGAACCAGCAGTTAGCGTAATGGCTATGTCACTGGACTCCCACGTAGTCGACCACGGTTTGCGTCCCAGACCCGGTGGGCACATGCCAGGTGCATGTGCGTGCGTGCCCAAGATCCCGAAAGGAGAATGGAGGAGAGGGGATTGTGGCGTGACTATCCCCCCTGGGGGGTGATTTCTCACTTTCTGTCTCTATGTCTCTCTCTGTCTGGCGAGCGCATGTGCCCTATAGTGAAAAATCTCTCCAAAAAAAAATACTTGCATTTCCTTTCAGAGGAAATCTGATAAGGAGTGACCAATACACATCTGGACACTTATCAGAGAAGTAATGCTAACTCAGTCTCTGGACACTGCTACGAGAGCTATATTTTATCCTCACGAAAACACAGATTACATTGAACTTTATCACCCAGAGTCTATGCACTGTAATAGTCCTGCTCCTTAACAAAAACAAACAAAACCAGCCTAAAAACACAGGTGCATGCTGAGTCAATTATTCAGAAAAAGATGGGACTTCCATTTTCAGTCCTTGCTCATACAGTTTTGCAGACGCAATGGCTACAAACACAATACAACTACACTCATTTCACCATGCAGGTTGCTTTCCTTCATATATAAAACCAGTGGTTAGCCTGGAGAATGGGTCCCGTTCTTTTTGGAAAAGAATACTCAAAGGAAATCTAAACATCTAAGCCTTCTACAGCCCCAAGTGACACAATATTATCACCTGAGCAAAGTTACCCCAAAATACCTAAAGGGCCATACCCCATTCCCTAGTGGTAACAAAGATGCCCCCTGCCTGGAGCTCTAAACTGTCATGCAGACAGTACCTAATCCAAAGTTTTCTTTCTGCAGATGAAGAAACCAAAGCCAGAAGGTCCCACCTGTGTGAAGAGGCTGGCTGAGCCCGGGCGAGGAGCCCCTCCTGAGTCCTTGCCCACCATGCTTTCTCCCAGGTACTTTCCAGTCTCTACGGCAGCACTCACTCTATGCGGACTGCCCTTCGGAGAGAAGTGGCTCCTGCCTTCTAAGAGCTGTGCTGTCCAAGATACAGCCCTTATTATGTGGCTCTCTAGCACTTCATAAGAGGCTAGTCTGGACTGAGATGTGTACAAGAGCAAAATAGATACCAGATTTCAAATAGTATAGAAATATACAAAATCCCTCACTAATTTAAAAATACTAATCACATGCAGAAATGATATGTTGATATAAAGTTAAATAATATACACTATCTAAGTTAACTTCATCTGTTCCTTTTTAGTTTTTTTGAGAAGGATTTTTGCAATAGGGTGTGAGTGCTTGCTAGGGTGACAGAGACACACAGAGAGACAGAAAGAGAGAAATTACCCCCCCAGGGGGGTGGCCACACCACAATCCCTTCTCCTCCATTCTCCTCTCAATGGGCACACACGCAAAAATGCCTGGCATGAGTTTTAAGCTGCTGGGTCTGGGACTCGAATTGCGGTCAATCATGTGGGAGTCCAGCAATGGAACCATTAACGCCATTTGCCAGTCCCTTTTTTTTTGAGAGAGAGAAAGAGAGATTTTTGCTATAGGGCACATGTATTCGCTGAAGAGATAGACAGAAAGCGAGAAATCACCCCCCAGGGGATGGCCACACCTCAATCCCATCTCCTCCCCTCTCTTCTTGGGATTTTGGACATCCATGTACACACATCCAGAGTGAGTTTTAAGCTGCTGAGTCCGGGACTTGAACCTCGGCTGATTATGTATGAGTCCAGCAACATGAACCATTACACCATCTGCTGGTCCCTCTTTTTACTTTTTTAATGTGGTCACTAGAAAACTTGAGATTCTACTGAACAGCTTTGTGTTGGAGTGTAAACTACTTGGGGGTCATTTAAGATGACAATTATATGAATGCTAGTTAATTATTTTATATTGCCAAAAAGACAAGTATTTGTTAAAGGATCTCTTAGTTAACACATTGCCAAGAGAACAAAAGACTGTCTTAAATACACACTAAAAAAGGATGAGGTGGGGGAAGTTTGCAACAAGATTACTTCTTCAGGAGAAACCTATAAAAGGAAAATCAAAAATCACTTCCTCTGGAAAGAAACTCTGAAACCCTGAGCATGCCATGTGCTGAAGGAACAGGAATGCACTGCTTTAAAACCTCTACAGGAAAGAAAGTCCACTGTGACATCTACTTAATATATCTTGGACACTTTGATGCCTGTACAATGTTCTTAAGCTAACAAATAGTTTGTACAGATAAAAATCATGACGATGTAAAAACAGATTCCAGAAGAAAAAGGCAAGACATATCTTCCCAAGAGATTCCTTACCTGGGTTGACGACCACCCAGCCACCCCGCTCCTGCTGGTGCATCCATGCTCTCCAGCCTCGGGCTCCCTTTTCCCCAGCCCGGGGCTCACCACTGTCCCAAAAAGGCTCAAAGAATTCCACCTGTTTGGATATAAACAATGGATGTTAGGTCTAGCTTGTATAAAGCTTCTAGGTCACTGGGCAAAATTGGTGTGGGGAGATGTAAGGGGAGCTTATGATCCTTGAAGTCATGTTTGCCATCAGTCTTTGAAGTAGGTCCATGATACTCAACCCAAAAAGAGGAAAGAGTTAACTGGAGTGGCAGGCAGCCTCCGAGTCAGCCCTCCATGACCCACCCCACCACTCTCCGGTATGGGCTAGACCTAGTGACCTCCTCTAACAGACAGAATATGGCAAAAGTGATGGATGTCACTTTCAAGATCAAGTTACAAAGAGACTGGCTGAGGTTCAGGGACAAGGGCCTATGGCCGGGTAGGAGGGGGTGGTTTCCTAGTTTGATCCTGCCAGGCCAGTCTAACCAGGAAAAGTGTCACTGCCAGCTTTCCAATGCCACTGAGCCCCCTGACACCTGAAGTCACGTTGCTTTCAAGACCTTTTGAGGAGGAAGGGAGTCAAAGTTTCAACAGGACCACAAGCTCTTAGGGGCACAACCTCATTTTAAGTAACTACATAGTCTGAACACCTGACGCAGTGCTCAGTGCACAGCAGGGACCCAACAAATGCTTGTTGGCAAAGATCTGAACAAGGCAAGCACCAGTGAATAACGAGGTCTGCATCTGAAAGCCCGGCCCCAGGAGCCCTCCCGCCCTCATCTGGTCACCAGGTACAGTGTGATGGTGACTGGTTCACTGGCAATCAACAATTCCCTATGGAACGGAACGTGCCCATGTTAGCGACTGACAGCAGGCCTTTACAAGGGAGCCAGAAGCTCCTCAATGGAAGCTTCTGTAAGAAACCTTTCAAAGAGAACAAGCAAACTCCCAGCCGCAGGCCACGGTCCAAGAGCTGTGGGATCACCCAACCTGAGCTCTGGGCAGTGCCACGGACACAGAAAAGCGTACAGGCTCCAGGAGAGTCACAGCCAGGCAGAGCAGGACGAACATCCAGACGTGGGCCCTGTCTTCTTGGACTGGGAAAACCATGGCCATGATGCCTCGAGGATCACTGCTCTAAAGTGTCAGGAGAGCCTGATCTAGGACCAGCAGACGATATAATGGTTACATTGCTGTACTCCCATGTAACTGACCACGGTTCGAGTCCTGGACTTGATGGTTTAAAACATGCTGGGCGCCACACGCGCATGTGTGAATGTGTGTGCCCAAAATCCCGTGAGGAGAATGGAGAAGGGATTGAGGCCTGGCTATCCCTCCTGGGGGGTGATTTCTCGCTTTCTGTCTCTCTCTGCCTCTCCGGCAAGCACATACACTTTACAGCAAAAATCTCTCACTTAAAAAAAAAAAAAAAAAAAAAAAAGAAGAAGAGAGAGAGAGCCTGGTCTACATTCTTAGGATTTTAAATCCTAACAATGTATGCATGTCCAAAGCATTTACATGGCAGAAATAAGGCCTCTTATTTAACAGTGGTCTATGTTGCCTGTATAACTCAGAGACATTGTTACCGCCAGTCACTCTTGGACTGGGAAAACCATACTCTCCCTTTATAAATTCTTTCTTGTAAAAGTAATGGAAGAAAGTACGCTCTCGAAAAGAGTATTTTTCTGAAAGCAGCGTGATGAGTGGTTCTAACCTCTGCCATGGGCAGAGCCCTCCCACCATCAGAAACTGCTCTCAGTATAGACAATCAACAGGCGGGTTCAGAGACAGCCTCACCCTCTCAGTGCTCCTTAGAGTTGGCTAAGAACATTTCTATCACATAGTATATTCTCAAAATATTAAGCACATCTTAACATTACTTGTTATCTGACTTAGTAATACTAAGTTGTACCAATATTAACTGGTATAATTATTTAACTCAATTTTGTCTAGAGGTAGCGTCATGATAAAAATGATCTTTACTGGCAGTGCAGGAAACTTCCACATGATGGAGACCTTAGTCTCTCATTCAGACATTCTAGCCATCTTCCACCAGACAGCATCCTTTGCAGAGTAGGAAACTGAGATTTCTTCCGTGGAAAAAGGGAAGACAGAGATTTTCTTAGACGCATAGCTTTATGGTAAGGTCGCTTTATTACTAATAACAAACACTGGTGATGTACACTTGTCATGGAAAAGATGAACCCCTCCCTAGTTAGGACGGGGATTGACACAGTGCCCACACGGAATCTCATTTGCAGCTCTAGCCAAGACTTTAGGAAGTGAAAGTGATGCAAGACCCAGGCGAGGGTGTACTGGGGGCCGGGGGGGGGACGACAGGACACACGTGGTTTCAAATGCATGAGGACACTAAGCATTTAAACAAGGGCCGGGAATAAGAAGGAAGAGGCTTCAGAGTCTTTATATTTGGTGGTGGTGGGTAGGAGTGGAGGGGATCTTTTTTCATATCTATCTACATCTCGTTAAGGAATTTTCCTTGGATCACTGGAATATTTCTGAGAAACCATCCTCAGAAGAACTGAAATAATAGTTGATATTTTTAAATACTACCACTACTTCCTGTTACCCAGAGCTCCCCGGCCCTCAAAAGATATCGAGACAGAGAGAAAAATTATGCAAGCAGAGCTTAGTACCTGCACTTTGGTAGGGAGGTCCTTCACACTGTCAGGTTTGAAGAAGGTGAAGTCAACCATAGCCTGGAACAAAGAGACGGCCCTCTCGGAGTGGCCGGCCTGCCGCAGGAAGTGGCACTGCTGCAGAAAGAGTGCTGCGAGTGGGAGAGCAGAGGGCGAGAACCTGTTGGTACTCTTAAAGGGCGAGTCGCTTTGCACAACACACAATTAAATCCATCACCCGAAAACATCTTGTACTTGAAACCATTATCACGGTTACGAAGCTGTGATACAGACATGCCCTGATTTGAAAGAACTCACAGTAGTATTTTAACCGCAGTATACTTACCCTAATTTGGTACAAAACCAACAAAGCATACAAACGTCAGCAAGAAAAACTATACAGAATACCCAAAAATAAGTCAAGAGGAGAGTCTGAATACTGGCTCACTGTCACATGAAAAAATCACAGAAAAGGATGGCATAGCAGATTTTTATCAGAAGCCAAAGGCCTATACCCAACTGATCCCTAGGTGGCATTCTTTACCAGCAATTTTCATCGTATGCTCAGAGACTTCGGAAAAACAAATCGAGCTCCATGTTTGAAAATTTCAGTTCGTCTTAACTGAAGTTCCACTTACGAAGTAACATTAAGCTAATTTGTGCTTATCACAAATGATGGCAAACATGAAATTCTTTATGTCAGTTGGGTAAATGCTGATTACTTCCAGAGCAGATGTAAATACGTAAACATTTACATCATTAGAAGCTAACAGTAATACTAAGAAGAGTTTCAATCAAATAAAACGCCTGCTGTGAGCCAGACCCTGAGCTAGACTCGCCGTCTATTATCTCATTCGATGAGCACAAGAGTCCCGCAAAGCAGTTTTATACTGTTGTTGGTGATGGAGAAAATGGGGCTCAAACAGGTTAAGGAACTTGCCCAACCCCACACCAGAGCCAACAAAGGCAAACTCGGGATTTAAGCTCAAGAATGATCTACCCTGGCTCCTGTATAGCATGCTGTGTCCTGTACCATGCTACTGCCAACGCGTATACCCTCGGCTCCTTCGGGACATACCACAGACGTCAACAGCATAGCAACACCAAGAGCTTAGATCTATGCTGTAGTTCCCAACTGGGGCATCTCAGGTACGGTATTGCCTGAGACCCTATAGCTGGGTGAGATGAGTATAGGCCATCGACCACCGAGGCAGTTAAAGGACTTGACTATGTTTACTTGGTAAATAAGAAGAGTTGGAACTTTCTACTCTATTTTCCTATTTCCCAATAGAAATCTTCCTAACTCCACACCTTAATTTTGGGTGTGGCCCAAATGCCCCCTGCCACACCCTGGGAGCTGGGAACAGGGATCTGTTATATGTAATAGGGCTTCTAATTTCTTTTTTTTACGATTTTTTTTTCCTCGGGAACCAGCAGTTAGCGTAATGGCTATGTCGCTGGACTCCCACGTAGTCGACCGCGGTTCGCATCCCGGACCCGGTGGCTTAAACTCACGCCGGGCACGTGTGCGTGCGTGCCCAAGATACCGGAAGGAGAACGGAGAAGAAGGGATTGTAGTGTGGCCATCCCCCCTGGGGTGTGATTTCTCGCTTTCTATCTCTCCGTCTCTCTCTGTCTGCCTGGCGAGCGCACGTGCCCTATAGCAAAAACCTCTCCAAAAAAAAAAAAAAAAAATCAGTTCTAGGGCCAGGAGGTAGCCTGGCAGTTCAGATGCTGGATCCCACATGACTGTGCTGGTCGAGTCCAGATCTAGTGGCTTTGAAAACACACTGACCACTGTGTGCATGCATGCCCAAAATACTGGGAGAACAGTGAAAAGAATGTGGTCTGGCCATCCTCCTGGTTGGAGATCTCTCCCTTTCTTCTCTGTGTCTCTCTCCAAGCACACAAGCCCTATGGCAAAAAACTAAAAAAAATAAATAAATAAACAAATACATAAATATCAGTTCTATCACACAACTTAGACTTTAGAATAAATTTTTAAAAATGGCTGGCAGGTGGCATGGTGGTTAAGGTGCTAGACTTACACATGGCCGACCGTGGTTTGAGTCCTGGACCTAGAGGCTTACTTTCTCACTTTCTCTTTTTCTCTGTCTGGCCAAGTTAAAATAATATTAACAATGAATAAAATTAAATATATTATTCTTTAAAAAAAATCAAAAGTAAATTCCTTATCTCAAGTAAAGCTAAAAGGAAGTATAACTCCTCCCACATAATTAGATCTGGTTATCCTTACCAAACATGGCCTCTTCTGTGCCAGGCAGCGCAGGGTGAGATAAGATGCTGCCGTCCTTAACAGCAGACAAAGTACTCAAACATTTTCCATAAAGATTGTGAATTTTTGTTATTGAAAAGGTGCTAAACTGGCTCTGGCAAAATAAAAGGTATTTTTGCCAAAGGGCTGTGTTATTGGGATGTAGAAATATCAGTTTCTGCCATTCTTTGACCAGAGTGGAGGGCTCCCAGAACTCGGTGCAGAGCTTCAGCTTAGCGAGTTTCAGATCCACACTGCTCTGGTTGCTTTCGATGGCGCGCTCCAGGATGGCCAGCTTCTTCTCCAGAATGAGCTTCAGGGACCGCCTTCGCTTCTCCTGCTCTCCTTCTTCGATGGCATACAGCCCAGGACTTTTCATGACCTCGTCCTCAACAACAAAAACACCAACTTACAAAAGGAAATGGAAGTGGGCTCCCTAGAGTTTCAACAATAACTGACTTTCTTAAGCCATTTATTTATCACTGTTTCTTTGAATAAAAACTTGGTCTTCGGGTGCTTGTCACTTAGTATATTTGATCTTGTGTTTATTTCACCTGACTGCGCTGTCCACTCTCTGTCATTTTAAACTGAGATTTATCAATAACTTTTTTTATTCTCCAATGCCTGAAAACCCTTTTTTGAGGAGCCAGCCGCCAAAATACAATGGCCAAGTGTGGAACAAAATATGGAAATTGTATGTGTAGTTGGAGATGAGGGACTCAGACAAATCCACCCATTTTAGAGAGGGAGCCTAGAGTTCTGAGTATGTAACTGACTGAGCAGCCCTTTCTCTTTCTCAGTTCTGCACTGATCACCGGTCCTCTGTATCCTTCAGGAAAGCCCTGCCTAGTGATCATCTCTTCTTTCAGAGTCCTGTTCCAATTCACCTTCTCTCGACAGGCCTTTCTTCCTCCCTAGCAACAAGTCACCCCCTCATTCTGTTCCGAATTTCACACTGTAGCCTTTACTACCCCAGGCCATCACATGTCCATCTTCCCGTGTGGGTCTTCCTCCCGGGACATGAAGGACAAAGTCCTCAGGGCAAGGGCTATGTCTCCTGCCCAGTGCCAGGGATTCTTATGGCAGCTCAAAATTTGCTGTAGTCCAGTTTGCCCAAAGTTAGTAATGTTGCCCTAAGGTACACAACAAAACCAATAATAAACAACTACAACACTTACCTGAAATGCAACAAACGCCATCCAGAGCTGAGTATCATGAGGATTTTCCCGAATCTTCCTGTTAAACTCCTCTACCCTGGCCTTGAGAATGGCATTCTCGCTGTCTGGCTGTGAATCTGGCTGCTTTGATTCTTGTTCTGAAGGACCCTGTCCTTGTAACCACTGTGTGGTTGACTGGTCATAAATCCCCAGAGGATTCAACCAGGTTGTGATGGGAGGAGCCCCATCATCTGAGTCCTTCACTGGTATAAATGAAATTGGCTCAGATGAGAGAGGTTCCTTTTGACTTGTAACAGCAGTTCCGTCGATGCTCATTAATCCCACATTCTTCTTTGTAAAGTAGCGTTCGACATGCTTGTGTGAATGCTTCTTTGCTGCCGAGGCCCCTTCCCAGGATATACACTGTTTTTTAGGGTTAATACCAAGGCAGGAATCTCCTTTCCTCTTGTATCTTATAATGGAAACAGAAAAAAAAAGTTACTATCCGTGAATGAGTGAAGGCTCATTAGACCTAAATAAAACTTGTTATGCAAGTTACAGCATATGTTCAAATTCGCCTTACCTTCAAATTGTTTCTATTTAGAGATCTATGAGGATTAGCAATTAACTTTTTTTCTGCCTGGCTCAACTTCTTCCTATAACACTTCAGCTCTTTGTTAACATCTCATGAATTGAAGATCATGCCTGTCTTCTAGACCTTAGTAATTCATGTTTCCCTGGAGCTTTGTAGTTACAGTCCTGTCACATACATTATGTCATCTGATCAATACAGCCACATGTGACAGGCAAAGCAGCAACTATCAACTCTTTCATACTATTCCTGAATAAGGACACTGAGACCTGGGAATGCACATCCTCTCTCTCAGAGCAGTCGCATTTTTCTGTGCCCCTTCTTAACAAGGTAATCTATAAGCCTAGGTTTCTTTTTTCCTAAGTATGTCAAATGAAGTTCTATTTGGTTCATTTCTACTCTAGGGAAAAAGAGGTTGAATCCAAAATGCTGTGATGGAACGTACAGGCAGCCCTGAAGTGATAAACACTAACTACCGACGCTGCGCAGTGACATTCTGGTCAACGACGGGCTGACCACATAGGTGACAGTGATCCCACACGATTATAATAGGCTACAGCAGGTAGCAAGCGTGTATCGTAGGCTACAGCATCTAATTTCATGTGAGTGTACACTGTGATGTTTGCACAATGAATTCACCTAGCCATGCTTTTCTTACAATGGATCTCTGTCATTGAGGAAAACATGACTGTATTTGCACAGGCAAACAAGCTAAGGAAAATGAGCACTGTTCTGCATGTATCAATATGTTAGCAAATAACTCAATTAAAAATGGGCAAAAGATCTGAACCAAAATTTCCCAAAAGTTATGCGTGTAATGCCAACAGTACTTGAAAAGTACTCAATAATATTAGTTGTCAAAGAAATGCAAATGAAAACATGATATAACACATACCCTAAACCCACCAGCATGGGCGAAACCAGACAGACTTGGCAGTATCAAGTACTGGGGACAATCAAGATGCCCAGACCTGCTGGGGAATGTAAACCGGGGGGACAATCACTTTGGGGAAAGCTCTGGCAGTTTCTTAAAAACTAAACACAGACCTACCCTAAGGCCCAGCAATTCTATCCTTAGCTATTTACCTTTGAAAAAGGAAACCACATGTCTACACAAAGTCTTCTGCACAAATATTCTCAGCAGCTTTACTGTAACAGCCAAATACTGCAAAGTGTCTATCAATATAAGAACGATACAGCCATGCAATGGAATATTACTGCTGCAAAAAGGAACTATTGATAAATGCCACATGGATGAGCCTGAAAAACATTACACTGAGTGAAAGAAGCCAGACATAAGAGTACACACTGTATGAGTCCTTTTATATGAAATTCTAAAACAGGCAAAACTAACTGATGGTAGGAAAACTAGAACAGTGATTGCCTCTGGGGAAGAGGGGTATGAACTGCCGTGAAGGGAGCATAAGGAAACGTCTGGGAGTCAGAATAATAGTCTATATTATGCAGGTGTACATGTTCGTCAGAACCCAGAATGGGGCCAGCAGGTGGCATGGTTGTTAAAGTGCTGTGGCTTCCACATGGACGACCATGGTACAAGTCCCAGACCCAACAGCTTGAAAAATCACAAAGGGTGCATATGTGTGCATGCCCAAAATCCCAAGAGGAGAATGGAGGATAAATGATTATGGCATGGCCAACGCCCTGGAGGGTGATTTCTCACTCTCTCTCTCTGTCTCTCTCCAGCAAGCACACACATCCTCCTGCAACCTCCCCTCCCCAAACAAGAACGAACAAGAAACCTTAAAGAATATAGATTTGTGCACTACTGCATAATCTTTAAATCAAAAGAAAAATGCAAATATATTGAACTCTTAATTAATAACATGCGCACCGAAGTATTTGGGAGTAATGTATTGTTTGCAGTTCACTTTTAAATCCATCAAGAAAGAAAGAAGAGCAGATGGATGGATGAATGAACACATATGTGACAAAGCCAGCATGGACAAGTGTTACTGGTAGGAAGTATGGGGTGGGTATGTGAGTGTTCACCATAACATTCTTCCAACTTTTGTTGTATATCTGAAATTTTCATCAAAAAACATAGAGAAGAGAAAGAGCTGGTATAAATGAAATTGGCTCAGATGAGAGAGGTTCCTTTTGACTTGTAACAGCAGTTCCGTCGATGCTCATTAATCCCACATTCTTCTTTGTAAAGTAGCGTTCGACATGCTTGTGTGAATGCTTCTTTGCTGCCGAGGCCCCTTCCCAGGATATACACTGTTTTTTAGGGTTAATACCAAGGCAGGAATCTCCTTTCCTCTTGTATCTTATAATGGAAACAGAAAAAAAAAGTTACTATCCGTGAATGAGTGAAGGCTCATTAGACCTAAATAAAACTTGTTATGCAAGTTACAGCATATGTTCAAATTCGCCTTACCTTCAAATTGTTTCTATTTAGAGATCTATGAGGATTAGCAATTAACTTTTTTTCTGCCTGGCTCAACTTCTTCCTATAACACTTCAGCTCTTTGTTAACATCTCATGAATTGAAGATCATGCCTGTCTTCTAGACCTTAGTAATTCATGTTTCCCTGGAGCTTTGTAGTTACAGTCCTGTCACATACATTATGTCATCTGATCAATACAGCCACATGTGACAGGCAAAGCAGCAACTATCAACTCTTTCATACTATTCCTGAATAAGGACACTGAGACCTGGGAATGCACATCCTCTCTCTCAGAGCAGTCGCATTTTTCTGTGCCCCTTCTTAACAAGGTAATCTATAAGCCTAGGTTTCTTTTTTCCTAAGTATGTCAAATGAAGTTCTATTTGGTTCATTTCTACTCTAGGGAAAAAGAGGTTGAATCCAAAATGCTGTGATGGAACGTACAGGCAGCCCTGAAGTGATAAACACTAACTACCGACGCTGCGCAGTGACATTCTGGTCAACGACGGGCTGACCACATAGGTGACAGTGATCCCACACGATTATAATAGGCTACAGCAGGTAGCAAGCGTGTATCGTAGGCTACAGCATCTAATTTCATGTGAGTGTACACTGTGATGTTTGCACAATGAATTCACCTAGCCATGCTTTTCTTACAATGGATCTCTGTCATTGAGGAAAACATGACTGTATTTGCACAGGCAAACAAGCTAAGGAAAATGAGCACTGTTCTGCATGTATCAATATGTTAGCAAATAACTCAATTAAAAATGGGCAAAAGATCTGAACCAAAATTTCCCAAAAGTTATGCGTGTAATGCCAACAGTACTTGAAAAGTACTCAATAATATTAGTTGTCAAAGAAATGCAAATGAAAACATGATATAACACATACCCTAAACCCACCAGCATGGGCGAAACCAGACAGACTTGGCAGTATCAAGTACTGGGGACAATCAAGATGCCCAGACCTGCTGGGGAATGTAAACCGGGGGGACAATCACTTTGGGGAAAGCTCTGGCAGTTTCTTAAAAACTAAACACAGACCTACCCTAAGGCCCAGCAATTCTATCCTTAGCTATTTACCTTTGAAAAAGGAAACCACATGTCTACACAAAGTCTTCTGCACAAATATTCTCAGCAGCTTTACTGTAACAGCCAAATACTGCAAAGTGTCTATCAATATAAGAACGATACAGCCATGCAATGGAATATTACTGCTGCAAAAAGGAACTATTGATAAATGCCACATGGATGAGCCTGAAAAACATTACACTGAGTGAAAGAAGCCAGACATAAGAGTACACACTGTATGAGTCCTTTTATATGAAATTCTAAAACAGGCAAAACTAACTGATGGTAGGAAAACTAGAACAGTGATTGCCTCTGGGGAAGAGGGGTATGAACTGCCGTGAAGGGAGCATAAGGAAACGTCTGGGAGTCAGAATAATAGTCTATATTATGCAGGTGTACATGTTCGTCAGAACCCAGAATGGGGCCAGCAGGTGGCATGGTTGTTAAAGTGCTGTGGCTTCCACATGGACGACCATGGTACAAGTCCCAGACCCAACAGCTTGAAAAATCACAAAGGGTGCATATGTGTGCATGCCCAAAATCCCAAGAGGAGAATGGAGGATAAATGATTATGGCATGGCCAACGCCCTGGAGGGTGATTTCTCACTCTCTCTCTCTGTCTCTCTCCAGCAAGCACACACATCCTCCTGCAACCTCCCCTCCCCAAACAAGAACGAACAAGAAACCTTAAAGAATATAGATTTGTGCACTACTGCATAATCTTTAAATCAAAAGAAAAATGCAAATATATTGAACTCTTAATTAATAACATGCGCACCGAAGTATTTGGGAGTAATGTATTGTTTGCAGTTCACTTTTAAATCCATCAAGAAAGAAAGAAGAGCAGATGGATGGATGAATGAACACATATGTGACAAAGCCAGCATGGACAAGTGTTACTGGTAGGAAGTATGGGGTGGGTATGTGAGTGTTCACCATAACATTCTTCCAACTTTTGTTGTATATCTGAAATTTTCATCAAAAAACAAAGAGAAGAGAAAGAGGCAGGAGACAGCTGCTTCCATCTTCTGTCAACTCCCAGAAAGCTCTGCTTCTGCTCCACTTCACTAGGACCAGTCCTGAGCCCCCTCCCATCATGGCTTGGCTTCTCCACTGTCAACAGTTCCCCTCTCTGCTTCCTTGTCCCTCTCACTGCTCACTGCAGTGAATCCATATGAGAAGAATATTCTCTCACACATGTGAATTTTCTCTCAAACTCTTTCTCTATCCTCCCTCCCAATTCTCCCCAGATTATTTTAGGATAATCTCCATTCCACTAAGGAGTCAAACACAACCTTAATGGAGCCAGTAGGTGGCATAGTAGTTAAGGTACTGGACTCTCATATAGTCGACTGTGGTTCGAGTCCTGGACATGGTGGCTTAAAGATCACGCTGGGCA